GCAGGGAGTCTGCTTCTCCCTCTGACCCTCCCCCTCTCATGTGCTCTCTCTCATTCTCTCTCAAATAAATAAATAAAATCTTTAAAAAAAAAAAAAAAAGGACAGGAGAAGAGTATGTGTCGAGCACCGTGGAGAGCTTCGCGGGCCCTGGCAGCTGTGTGCAAGGATGGAGCAGGGGCAGGAGAGAGGCCTTTCCGGTCTTCTCATGTGCACCTTTTCAATTCCCCTACATGACCTGCCTAATGGGGGAAAGGAAATCAACACTGGATAAAAAATAAACAGTGCTCTGATATCAAAGGATAATAGCTGGGTTTGGTTTGCACACTGATTGTGATGTTTGATAGATCTAGAAAATATATTTGAAAAAGCACAACTTGTAGCTGCTACAGTACCTCCCCAGCATGCCCAGGGGCTGCTGGCCTGCTCCTAATCAGTCCCTCTCTCCTGCTCTGGTCTCTGCAGAGCTCTGGCTGCCCAGTTGCCAGTCCTACCACGGTCAGAGGTGACCTTCCTGGCCCCAGTCACGCGGCCAGACAAGGTGGTGTGTGTGGGAATGAATTATGTGGACCACTGCAAAGAGCAGAACGTTCCAGTGCCAAAGGAGCCCATCATCTTCAGCAAGTTTGCCAGCTCCATCGTGGGGCCCTACGATGAGGTCATCCTCCCACCGGAGAGTCAGGTCAGTGCCTCCTCATAGGCCCTCAGTCGCCGGCCCATCTCCAGGGTGCTCAGCACTCAGCAGCCAGCCTAAAGGAGCTACCTGTTGCTTAGTAGTGCATTTAGTAGAAACTACAGGCGATTATACTGTGTAAGGCTGGTCTCACGGAAAAAAAAATTAACGTATTTTTTACTGACTGCAAAAATAATACACTCTAATTGTAGAAAAAGAATAAAATTCAGGATGCATCTTCTAAGAGTAAGTACAATGTCCTACATGACCATAATAACCACTATCACCACTAAGAAAATGAACATGAATAATACCTAATATATAGTCCAATTGAGAATATTCCCATTTGCCCCCAAAGATGACTTAATTTGGGTTCTGTTTTACTTTTTGTTTGTTGAACCAGGATCAGTCAAGGCCACGCAGTGTACTTGGTTATGTCTCTTTAGTGCTTTAATCTAGAACAGGGATCTGCAGACTTTCTCAAAGGGTCAGTCAGTAAATAATAGACTCTGAAAGCCACAGGGTGTCTGTTGCAATAACTCATCTTTGCCCCTGTCGTGTGAATGTAGCCGTGGCTGATACATAAAGGAGTGAGTATGACTGTGTTCCGGGAAAGCTATTTATAAAAGCAGCCAGGAGGTCGGATCGGGCCTGTGGGCCGTAGTTTACTGAATTCTGGTATCAAACAATCCCCTTGCCATTTTCTTTCATGACACTGACTTTTGGAAGAATCCTGGCAGTTTGTCTTAGCATATCCTACACTTTTTCCTCGTTAGATTCGAGTTAAACATTTTTTGTCAGGATTCTATATAGGTGTTAGTTCATTTGGACTGCTGTAACAAAATAAACCACAAAAATTTCTCATAGTTCTGGAGGCTGGGAAGTCCAGGATCAAGGTACCGATACATTTGGTGCTTGGGGAGAGCCGGCTTCCTGGTTCACACACGACTCTTTTCGCTGTTTTCTTACATGGTAGAAGGGGCAAGGGAGCTCTCTGGGATCTCTTTTATAAGGGCACTAACCCTATTCATGAGAGCTCCGCCTTCATGACCTAGTTACTTCCCAAAGGCTCTACCTCCTAATATTATCACATTGGGGGTTAGGTTTCAACATACGAATTTCAGGGTAGGGGGCACATTCAGTCTGAAGCAACAGATGTGTATTGCACCCCATTGGGAGGCTTATGTCAGATGGTCCTAAAGTTTGATCACTTGGTTTACTTGATGTTGACCAGATCTCATCGGAAAGGCGTATTTCACTGTGGTAATTAATAAGCAGTCTACAGGGTAGGAATTTGAGACCCTGTGGACTATCTTATTGCCCCACAGCTTTTCATCCAGGGATCCTCACCTCAATTCATTATTGTATTGGGGGTTAGAAAAAGGTGATTTTTCTTTCATTCCTTTTTACTATCTGGCATTCTGTGAAGAAAAGCTACCTCCCTTCTTTTTTTACTCCTGTCCCTTTAGTAGCACTGTGTATTCCTGATTTTCATTTTTATCCAATATGCTATAATCCATTACTTATATTCTGATATTCAAATGGTCTCAATTTGGCTGGTGGGTGGCTTCCGGTTGGCCCCAGCCCTGTCACTTTTTGAGTACTTCCTTGCTTTCTGGCCAAGATATTTCAGGCTCATCTTGTACTGTCTCAGACCTGGAATTAGCCATTTCCCCCAAGCAACCCATTTCTGTCTAGTGGGGACCAATGCTAGAGACCAAGATCAGGTGTCGGCTGTGCTCAGAGCAACTCTGGTTGTTACCATTAGAAAGAGCAGGCAATTTGAAAGGCTAAGTTGTATCTCTCTTATAGTTGCGCTTTGCTGATTGAGGGAAAGGCTGTGCATGTTTTTTTCTGTGCTGTGCCCATTTCTTTTCATTTAAGTGAGTTAATATCTGAAAGCACTTAGGATGCTATTGGCACACAGTAGGGTTAGCTGTTATTACTTGGTATTCATTCTTTTTTGAAAGTATCGAGTGACTTGTAAATTCAGTGCCCAGACTCATGTTGCCTTTCTTAAAAAATTTATTTATAATCTCTACACCCAGCGTGGGGCTCGAACTCGCAACCCCAGGATCAAGTCACGTGCTGTACCAAGTGAGCTAGCGAGGCGCTCCCCACAGTGGGGAGCTGTGCGTGCATGCAGTGCTGCTGCCTGCCACTGCCCACGTTTATGGGTCTACAGGCCACACCTCCCCCCGCCTTCACTACGTCTGGTTCATGGCGATTACAATTGTGGGCCCACAGCCAAGCCCCACGGTCAGAGACCTAGGCCCTGAAGCACGGTGTGCAGCCCCTCAACATGGGAACAGGCCCTGGAGCCAGGTAGCTCACTGCTTCGTTCTCTACAGGAGGTGGACTGGGAGGTGGAGCTGGCTGTGGTCATTGGAAAGAAAGGCAAGCGCATCAAGGTAAGCTGGTAGAGATGCCAGCCGTCTCTGGCATTGGGAAGTGGACGGCGACTACCTGCTCCCTGCCTTATTCCTTGCCCATCTTCGGCTAGTTCTGGCGACTGACATGGGATAAAGGCTTGGTTATGGGGGTTGGTCTCACCGTGATGATCTAACTTCCAATCTGGCCAAATCCCCTGTCCCCTAAAGGCCACAGATGCCATGGCTCATGTGGCCGGCTTCACTGTGGCTCATGATGTAAGTGCTCGTGACTGGCAAATGAGACGCAATGGGAAGCAGTGGCTGCTGGGAAAAACCTTTGACACCTTCTGCCCCCTGGGCCCTGCCTTGGTGACCAAGGACAGCATAGCAGGTAGGTCTTGGGATAGCCCACATGGTGACTCTTCCTGCTCTTGCATGGACACAGCAGAGTAAATGAAAAGCCGTACTCAGGAAATTGGAATTTGGAGTTGCCTTTGAGAGCAAGTCTCACCCTAGGCCATGAGTTCCACAGGCCTCCTTCCATGTCCCTCACTACAGAGGTGGTAGAACTTCCTCTAGCTGCCACTGTCTCTAGCTGCCACTGTCCATGAGTGTCTTTAAGTTGGCAGGAAGCAGAAGTAATGGCTGCCAGAAGCCCATGCCTTTTCCCCAGGAAGGGAGAGCACAGCGGCACCTCCACAGCTGGTGGTACCAGGGCAGCACCCGTTCTAGGCAGCACGGTGAGCCAGGAGGAAAGCCCGTCAGCCAGAGGGCAGAGCACAGCCATTTGGGTGGGGGTGTGCCCATGCAGCCCAGCTTTACAGCACCCTGTGCAGCCGTCAGTGAAGTGAAATTGTGTTTCAGCTGCTCTGAGGGCAGGGTGTGAGTGTATAAAGCAAAAAAAAAAAAAGGTGCTCATTAGCCAGGACACTATTACAGGTAAGCTGTCCCCTGCCGTCAGGTGCAGGAGGCGTCCGTGCCCATCTGGGTGGTTACCCTGCTGGAGTACAGATACCCAGTTGTTTTTATATCTGCAGCTGTCAGCCTCTGCTGTGGATAGAGGAGGGCCTGGGACATTCTCTCCTTAACCCACCCCAGTGACCACTGGCAGACGCTCTGCTGGGTGGTAGATGCAGGGAGACCTGAGGATGCCAATGTCCATACAGAAAGCTCCAGGGTAGGGAGTGCTGAGTGGGCATGAAGTGCCAGGAGTACATGCGGGGAGACTAGCGGACAGACCTTTCACCTGGCCAGTCACAAAGCCACCTTGTGCATTTGCTTTCTGAGTAAAGGGAGGGTTTTGAGGGAAAACAAGAACCCCAAGGTGGTGCTTTTACATTTTTCAGATCCACACAACTTAAAGATCTGCTGCCGAGTGAATGGGGAGGTGGTCCAGAGCAGCAATACCAACCAGATGGTATTTAAGACCGAAGAGCTGATAGCCTGGGTCTCCCAGTAAGTGGGATGGGGCCCTACTCCACAAACCCACCTGAGGCTGAGCTGAGCCTTCCAGCCCTGGCTCTGGCCACCTCGACCCCTGGTCTCACCTGTCTCTTCTGCCTCAGGTTCGTTACTCTTTACCCAGGGGACGTCATCCTGACTGGGACCCCCCCAGGTGTTGGTGTATTCAGAAAACCTCCAGTCTTTCTCAAGGTAGGTTGACTAAAAGGTGGAAAGGGAACAAGGACCCAGAATCCCTGGCAGGCTTGTGAAATCCAGGCCTGTATGTGGCCAAAGGACTAATGTCCTGATTTTCTCTGTTACAGAAGGGGGATGAAGTTCAGTGTGAAATTGAAGAACTAGGCATAATCATCAACAAGGTGGTGTGAGGGCTCTCCCCACAGGCCCTGGACTTAAGAAGTGGGGCGTCCATTCTCTCCCAGGGCCAGCTGCCTCTTCCAGGTAGAGTGAGAGGAGAAGCTTGCTTTCCTCATCAATAAAATTCTCAGCCAAAGCAGCAGCTTGGCTTCTGCTACAGTTTGTCTTTTAGGGCTTTAAGGAACAAGACAGGGCATTCTCACAGGGTGGGGAAGGAGAGAACAGATACCCAAAAAAAGACACTCTGGGCTTGGGAAAAAACTTGTCCAGTCCCCTTAACACACCAAAGGATGGAAAATGCAAGAGACGGCAAGAGCCAATGAAGCACAAAAGATTTTATAGTTCAGGTAAGGGTGTGCAGCCCCCCCTGTCTTCTGGCTCCAGGACACTGCTATGTTCTGGGGCTGAGAAGTCACCCCACAGTTCTAGCTACAAATGAACTGCCAGATGAACTGTTCCAGCTTTTCCTGATTTTCCCGGCTGGTGAACGTAGGGGACAGGTAGAGCATGGGACCTGCAGGGCTGGGCATCTGCTGCAGCACCTGGGCCACAGGGAAGGGCTGTGAGCGCTTACCATGGGGGCTGTGCCTGTCCCCCAGCACACTGCAAGTGAGCCTCGGGCCCTTTGGGCCTTGAGTGCAATTGTTGCCTCTTAAACCCAAGAGTAGGATGAGACAGGATGGTTTTCCTGGCCCTTTTGGTCTCCTAAACCACTATCTTCAACTACTGCCACCACGCCTATTCTGAGACACTAGGTAAACCCCAGGGTGGGCACAGCTAGGCTTCCCTGAGCAGCTCTATCGGTATAGAGATGGGAGGCACAAGGATGGTGAGACTGGCTCCTCTTACCCCCAGATCTCTGAAGGTCCAGATAGCACTGATGGCAAGATTTCGGTCTGCACACTCTGGAAGGGAGAGAGAAGGGAAGGCTATAGGGAGGAGCAGGGAACCACTGGGCGCAGGCTTCTCTTGTGCTGAAAGAAGGAACTAGCCAAGGCTAGGGCTCAGACTAGGCGCAAAGACCCTCTCTCTACGCTTCTTCCCGGAGCTGCAATGTCACTGCCCAGCAGGGGGCAGCAACCACCAGCAAACCCTTCCCTGCCTCTGGGGAGCCTGGGCTGGCTGCCTGGGACTCACCAAAGGACCCTTCCTCCTGGGCAGTGGCCTGCAAGAACTGCAAGAGCTGCTCCGTGTAGCCGGACTCTGGGAGAAAGAAGATGTGAGCCTGGGGCCCCTGCCCTGAGAGCTCTCAGCCTCCCCCTGTGGCTGGCCGGAGTGGGCACAGGCCTTACCCGTATCCGGCAGCTGTCCCCGGTGAAGGAAGGTGGCAGCCTGTACGAAGGCCTTGAGCAGCGGGCTAAGCAGGCGGCACAGGAAGAGGAAGAAGTCAGGGCAGCGTGACTGCTGACTGAGCTGGAGGGGGACAGACCAGAGTGAGGGTCGTTCCCACTGGCTGCCTGCCTCCCCCACCCCCGATGTGGCTTCTCCCAACTTACCCTGAAGTACCGGCCCTCAGCCTCCTCGAAGTTGTCACTGTCACTATCAGTAAAGTCCCCACTCGGTTTCCACAGCAGCTTTGCACTTAAACGCTGCCGCCCTGTGTCACAGGCTGGCCGGGAGCCTGGGGTCTGGGAGCCGTGGGAGCCATTGGTCCCTGACAGGTTCAGCCCTGAGCCCCCCACTTCCCTAGACCAGGTACTTGGCAGACCAGGCATGTGGGGGCGAAACCAGTAAAAGCAGAACTAGGGAGCCCAAGACGACACCCAGGGCCACGCCAGACCATGGCACCTGCTGAGCCAACTTGCAGGGTGACAGGAAGTGAGCGCTGACCCTCAAGGGCCACAGTCTGTGGACAAGAACTGTAAGGGGCAGGAGACATGCAGAGGACCGCAGAGGTACAGTTGTCCAGTCCTGTCATGATAGGGCAGATAGGGCAAAGCCCGAGGCAAAGCTGGCAGAGGCAGGACCCAGGCCTCCCTGTCAGCCAGGCTAGGAGCACGCCCACCCCCACAGCACGCTGGGGCAGCTGTCACTCAGGGTGGGAGTAGGTGGCCAGGCCCCAGACTGGGGCTTTGTCTCCAGCCGCCCTTCCTACCTCCTCAGCAACCAGGAGCCCACACTGGATAAGACGGTCCAGCACTTCCTGACAGTAGCAGTAGGAAGACTGGCAGGGCTGAGGAGAAAAGCATTCTGTGGCCTCAGAATCAGGCAGTGGGCAAGGGAGATCTAACGCCACAGGAAGACTTAGGGGCCTGTGCCTGCCTAGTCCCTCCCCCTCCACAACCGACAGGGGAGTCCCAGGACCATGTGGGGCTGGGGGGAGAGGCCTGACCTGCAGCAGCAGCAGGTCCTGGGGCAGCAGGTGCAGCAGCAGCAGGATCTGGCGGTACAGCTCGTTCTGGCTCAGCAGCTCAATGCCCTGTAGCTCCCAGGGCCCCTCAGGCGGCACTCTGCCTGCCAGCAGCCCCCGAACAGCGCAGGCTGGGGGAGGAGAGGGCCGGGCACGAGAAGGGCCGCCATTCGCCTCGCCCCTACACACGTCCCACCCAGCCCAAGCCCTGGGGACTCACCACCTACAGCTTCACTCAGGAAGGCAGGTAGCAGCTCGGCGCTCAGGCGTGCCAGGTGTGTGAGACCCGGGCCTGGCCGAGGAACTACCAGCAAGTCTCCCTGATGGACGCGCAGCAGGGCCACATGTGCCCGTAGCAGGCTCAGCGTGTGCTGCACAAGGCACCGCAACTGCCCCGAGAAGCCCACGTCAAAGCCACGCAGTAGCGTCTCCTCGGTCAGCCAGGAGAATTCCCCCAGAAGCTGGGACAGGAACACACCCTGGGGGCCAGGGTAGTACGGGGCTGAGCAGGAGGGCCACACCCCCTCCCCCAGCCCCCTACCACTCTGTCCCCTACCTTCTGATGCTTGAAGAGCAGCAGTGTTGCCATGATGGCCGTGCTCATCACTGCCGAGCTGGTCACACTGGCTAGGGTGGGAAATGCTGGTCAGGGCAGGGGCCTAGTCCCTCCACCGCCCCAGCAAGTCTTCCTAGTCAAGAACATTCCTCCTGCACCCCACTGGCAGCAGCACCCCCCCCAACTCTACCCTAGGCAAGGGGAGAGAAGGCCTGGTCCTTGAGTGCCACCCTTCCCTGTGGAAAACCAACATTTATCAAATACACGATGGGAGCTCAGGGACCTTCCCTGCCTCTCACAGGCCCACTCACCCCCATGGTCTCTGCCACAGAAGGGGCACTCAAAAAGAGTAATAAAGAGAATTTTGTTAATACAGTGTCTGGTACGGAGGATGCTCTTAAGTCCCTTATGTGCATAATTCCATGCAATTGACATCCCCTTCATTTACAACTAAGGAGACCAGGCTGAAGTGGTGAGCCTAAGGTAGGGCCAGGTATGGCCTCGGGTAGGTGGCTCATCCGGCCAGCTCCCCCTGCACAGTGCACCCTCCACGGCTTCGCCAGCCTGTCATCTAGTGGTTCCCTCAGGTTCTCCCTGGCTTCCCTGCTTCCCAGGAGCAAGGCGGGTTCCACTCCTCTTCACATGTCCCAAATGGGCCACACAGGAGTGGAAGTCAGGTGCAGAAACCCATTTGGAAAGGAGGGCTTTCCAAAGACTAGCTGACCCAGTAGAAAGAATGCTCAGAAGCCACCACCCCCCCTCCAAGGCTCAGACCTAGCTCGCCCTCACCATTCAGGACATGACGACTCAGCCTCCTGACCAGGAGCTGGTCCTCTTCCTTAAATGCCAGAAGGGGCCCAGTTGCTGGAGTCCACTCCTGCTCCTTCTCAGTGTCTGGGACGATAGTACTGGGATAGAGACATAGATCACAGGATAAAGGGACCAAACCTCAAAACAGTTGTGGGGAAGCCCAGAGCTTTCTCAAAGGGTGTTTCCCCATGCCCACTCCCAAAGCAAGAGGTGGCTCTTTCCAGGTCTGTGTGCCATGTCCCAGTCAGATTATAGGCAAGGAGGGGTGCCTGGCTCTGTTCTAGATGACCCATGGATAGCTGGAGAGGGAAGGCTGGAGCTGGTGATGAGTTTGTGGGTATGGGGAAAGAAGGTGCCAGGTCAAGCTGGGGCTGAAGGGCTGCCTGCCTTGCCCCCGAGACCCACACACAACCGTGCCCCTACCATTGGCCCAGCACGATGGGCTGCAGCAGCTGCTCCAGGGTCTGCCTGCTGCCCCAGCAGCTTCTGGCGTTGATGGTGTATTCCTGCCCAGGACAAGGCTTTTAGGTGGCCTGCCCTGGCCCACCAGGAAACCTGCACACAGCCCACCTGAGGTAGGCAAGACTATCCCTGCAGAGGCTCTGAGGGCCAGGCTGCCAGAAGCCCCGGGACAGACCTCAGGTAGTCCCAGCCTTGTCCAGCAGGCTGCATACCTGTAGGGAGAAGGGCTGGGCCAGGTGCACACGGACACAGACCCTGGGGCTGTGGCCCCAGCCTCGCAGGCTCCGCAGGACAGCCAGTGCTCCTGTCCACAACCCCAGTGGGGCCAAGGCCTGCAGGGAGGGAGGGGCTGAGTGAGCAAACTGCCTAGGGGCACTATTTTCTGCTCTGTTTTTTTGTGGGTTTTTTTTTTGAGAGAGAGACACACAGTGAGAGAAGGAACACAGCAGGGGGAGTGGGAGAGGGAGAAGCAGGCTTCCCGCGGAGCAGGGAGCCGGATGTGGGGCTTGATCCCAGGACCCTGGGACCATGACCTGAGCTGAAGGCAGACGCTTAATGACTGAGCCACCCAGGCGCCCCTTCTATCTTGGGCCCCAACTGGTGCATGGCCATGGCCTCTTCAAGCTTATTTTCTCATCCATGAAACAGGAGAAATCCCCCTCTAACTGGGTCTTTAGAAGATGAAATGACTGGGTAAGTCTAAGTGCCTTGGCAAGTGCCACAGGATGATGACTGGAGGGGTAGAATTCCTTTACATTCCCCTTAACTCTAACCCTAAGAGAAGCTGGCCAGAGAACATAGTAATCTGTCTCCACTCTAGAGATGGTGTCCACTTGGAGTCCTCGGGGGCAGGACTCACATGGTATACATCACATGGTGCATCTGGAACCAGGTCATAGGTGATAGCCACTGGAACTAGCATGGCATCTGGGATGACGCCCACCTGGACAGCCTGTACCACCAG